CAGTAGTAAAATATTTTGCTTACCGTCCTAGCTAGCTAGCTACTCTGCTGCAAACTGCATCCCTACAGCTAGCTTAGCCGGCTGAGAGAAAGGGAGGGAGGGAGAGAGAGAGAGAGAGAGGGAGGGAGATGCGTCGAGGGGCATGGGCGGCAGAGGAGAGAGGAGAAGAAAGGGCATCATGCAGTGTAGATTGGACGATCGCGTGTGCACGAGCGTGCGGCCCGGCCGTGCCGAGTCGTCTCGTCACCTCCGTCCGCGCGCCGCTCTCGCACGTGGCCATTCCCCTGCCCTGCCCTGCGCCGCGGCGCGGCAGCTGCAACCCATCTCCCTCCCCCTCCTCCTCCCCTCTCTGGTCCGAGCTGCGCTGCCATGGCAGCTCGGCTTCTGCCGTGCCGCGCGCGGTGAAATAATTAAGGCCGCCTGCCTGCACCCAACAAACCCTTTCCCCTTCCCCATCCCGGCCGGCCAGGCGCCGAGCTCCAGCGCCCGGCAACACCAACAGTGCGCGCCAGATTTCCACTGCACGCTCTGTCTCCTGCTCATCCCTCTGCCCCGTGGATCTCTTCAGGTACCCTCGATCCGTCGCTTGAAACCAAGCTGAATGATCCACCATCATATAACTTCCTTTCTACACTGGATCTTCGGTAATTCCCAGTGGCATCTTCACGAGTTAGCAGTAGTCTTTGTTCATCAGCTAGATGCGGCACGTACGCTCTACAGTTCAGGTCGCGATGGCATACCTCTTTGTTAAGTCCGACATTTGGGCATGGACCCACTTACATTGAGCAAGCAAAGGTACTGCCACGTACAACCTGTGGACTCAGCTGCACTCGGGTATTTCTCAAGCCTCCGCCCGTGTCGCCAATCGTGGGCGGAACCCTAGCCACCGGGCCAACTCCCTTCTTACTAGATCTCCCTCCCCTTGCTGTCGCCGGGCAAAGTCCGCGCAGCGTCGTCGGCGGCGGGGCACTCCGGTTCTCCCTCCCACGGGGCTCGGGCGTTGCGAGGAGTCCGCCGCGGGAGCGTGTGGTCGTCGTGGCGAGCACGTACGGCGCGCGGGAGCGCGTGCGGTGCGCGGACACACGCGTGGTGGGCTTTGGCTCTCATGGCCCGACGGCGTCTGGCAGATCGGATCTCTGGGCTGCGGCCTCGATCGGTGGTGAGCGATGCGGCCTGCCTGGCGGGTGGCACCAGCGGGTGCAGATGGGCAGCCTTCGGCGCCGGTGCTACGGCGGTTCCTCGATGGCCAACCGAAGCTTCATGGGAAGTATCGTCCTCGACTTGATCTGCTCCGGTTCCTGCTGGCTACGGTACATGGCGACTGCGGTCGATGCTGGCGGGTGGGCATGGATCCGAGGGAAACTCCAGGCTGATGTGCCGACCGCACCAAAGTCGATGCCTCTTGCGCTGATTCCCTTCCTAGAGACTTCGGTGTGGATCCTACTCCTCCCACCTCTGCCATGAGCGCAGGCAAAAGCCTCTGGTTCTCTATTTGGGGGATGACGACATGTTGATGTCGTGTTCCTTCCTGAAGGCATCGGCCAGGGACTGCTCAGGGTGTTGGAGTTCCTGGTAGTTCACAGTCGATGTGAGATGGCATGCAGGTGGAGCGGCGTAGCATGATTCGTATCGTCGACAGTGAGTCTCAGCGGTATGGTGCGGCAGAGTCTCGGCGCTGGATGCGTCTTGATGGACGTGCGTAGGAAGGTGGTGTTGTCTGGCGTCATGGTGGCGTTGATGGCATGCCTGGCATGGTCGATGCGTTAGTACCTGCTTCAAAGATGGATCCGTGCAAAACGGCGTCGAAGGACTCTAACGGTGTGCTGGACCGGTGTGTACCCTAGATCCGGCAAACAGCTTGGCAGGGGCCTCCGGATCTAGATATTAGAATTTGGTGCAAGGTCTGTTCGGTATTCGGCTCGGACTTTTGACACCCCTTCATCAACTGAATGCGACAGATGTTGCCAAGATGGTGGCCTCAGACTTATTGATGTATTATTTTATAAAGTCTTTGTGAATAATTGCATGTATATATTGTCGAGATGCAAAGGCCGGGGTGATCCTCCTTTTCTTAAAAAGACATGCGTGTCCATATTTGCATGAAATATCGTCATTTAAAATGAGTGCATTCATCAAGGGTACGTTCATGTTATGTTCATCAATTCATGCCCATATGAGTAGTAGGAGTACTACCGTATGTTACTCTCAAGATAGAATGTACACTTGTTCACTCCAGCTAGCCCTTAACTTACTCGAGCTAGCGAGTAGTAGCTGCAGATCATGTGTGATCTCACGCATGGCAATGATTGGGACACCCTAAGCAAATTATTACCCCTATCATGCATGTTTCCTTTTCACCTGCTAGCTCTCCTAGCCCATAAATAAAATCTGTTACCACCACATGCGTACGTACAAGTAGTACTCCCTCCCTCCAGTCCTTTTTAATTCACATATAAGATTTGATTAAAGTCAAGCCTCGTAAAGTTTAAACAATTTTGTAGAAAAAAGTGCTAACATTCACAATTTGAAATCAATGTCAGTAGATGTGTTATGACTTAAATTTCATATTATATAACTTTAGCATGGCAAATGTTGATATTTTTTCATATAAATACGGTCAAACTTTGTGAAATTTGACTTCAGAGAATTTTAATATGCAGAGTAAAAAGAACCGGAGGGAGTACTACGTGCATGCATGCTCATCGCTCAACCTTTGTTTTGGGGATTAGCGGCGAATCGCTAGCTCGCAGCGACCCTGAATGGAGCCAAGGAATTGAAACGCATCGCGTCGCATCGGACTGCTGCCCTGCCCGGCCACCTTTCCCCCCTGATTCATCCAACCTTTCCTTCCTGCAACTAGCGCCTAGCCGCCAGCTACTCTATCCACCTAGCTCTGCAGGTCGTCTTCCTCCTCGGGGTCGCCAATCTTTTTGGCCATGGCTCCTCCTACTTACCGTTGTGCACTGCACTGGCGTTCCTATCCTTCCATACTTTCAAAGAGGAGAAGGAATCCCGTGCGTGCTTAAACTTTTATGAAATGCAAATGAAGATCTAATTAAGGCTCTAGCCGAGTACTGATCGTTTTTAAAAGTTTGATTTGAATCGCCGATTGATCTTTCTTATTTCTTGGATGATGCATACTGATTGATCTATTGCAAGATGAGTATATGTGTACACTGATTGATCTAACCAGTCCCAAGCTGCAAGCAAACGCAATAGTGGCAATTTAAGGTAGCTGACTAGAGTGGTAGAACAGGTACTGGGATTCCGGAGGTGTTGTACGGTGACCGAGGAAATTTACTACCGGACTCGTGCAAACTCCATTCCAAACCCCAATGCAGGTGGAGCTCCTGCTACCTTCTTCTGGTAGTCCAAATTAAATGCACACCCAGACAAACACATGCAGACAAGCAAGTGTGCGTGTGTGTGTGAGAGAGAGAACAAGGATGGTTCATGTCTGAGGAAAATTAACTTATTTTGTGTGTTAACGATGATCACATTTGGGGCGCTAATATTGTTCGTCTAATTAATCCCCAAAAGAATACTGACCAGGCATATTATATGTTCATGTGCTAGCTAGCTCTTCAATATCTATAGCTAATCGATAGCATATGTATTCCGTACGATTTGAAGTGTGCACGCTCAGGTGCATGCTTCTATTAGTATAGGCCCTGACTATGCACGTACGTACGTACGATGCATATTAACTGAGGTCGGCACGCCTCCGGATCGATCAACTCACGAGAGACATAGGACAGTTTTTTGCATGCGCACGCCGTCGCCGTCAAATCCGCCACGTTACGAACAAAACAATTGCTAGAGGAGGACGAGTGATGGCCAGGACAAGGGCCTTTACAAAATTGCAATACTTGACCAACGAGTAGGTTTCTTTTGGAGAAAACCAGGCGTCCTACTAGCACATGGTTGAACTATACAAGTAGTAGGATTAGCCTTGCTAAGTCTTAGTTGACTGAGTCGACTTAGAAGTCTCAGATGATATATTCATGAGACCTTACATTAAGATTCGTGTAAATTTTTTTCTTTAGTTTTTTTTTCTCTTGCATGTTGTATCATTTGATTGAGACTTGGTTAAATTTCAGTCGACTGAGACCTAACCAGACCCTGGTAGGAAACAATGGTGTGCGCACGATGGAATTAGTCCTGTGAAAATGCATGCAAGGGCCGGCGTTTGAACACGCCATGCTAGAGCCCTACAAGGGGCTTTTTCGTGGGTTGTTCCAAAATCTTCCTTGCCTGTATACGCACAGTGGAAGTGGTACGTGCATGGTACCCTGAAATAAGTACACGGCCACAGTGGCAGAAACTTTTGTAACTTCACCATCTGCCTGAAATTAATACTACTCGTACCACTATCGACCTGTAGGTACACGATCTTTTGCCTTGCATATCGATGCACGCATGCGCAGTGTATGTGTTCCCATGGTATGTGCATACGTACATGTCATATGCAACGCGTTTGTAATGGATGCCGGTACGTGTATATGCACGCTTGTGATGTACTGAGTCTAGCTAGCTAGTTGCGGTTTCCATCCAGCAGGTGGCTCTAGTTTGCGAGAGGGTTTTAGCCTTCACGGCCCCCTTAAGCTCCATCAAGTTTCCTCTTCGGGCCCGTTCCAGGTGCATGTTTACCCTTCACCATCCTTTAACCTTTCCCTTCCGGTAGCTCATTTCACCCCTCATCTTCATCTACACCTAGCTAGCTAGGTAGCGACACTGTGGGATAAAGCAATACCAATACAGGCGGTGAGAGAGGGGCGGGGGTAGGGGCTTCGGGCTAAGCCCAAACACTGTTGTCTCTCTACGTTTCCGTGCTCGACTATATAGACCCTCCATTGGCCTCTTGCATCCACACACACACACACCACCATAGCCAAGAGCAGCCCATTTCACACTGGCACCAGCTGCTTGCTCGCCGTGCCACAGCTCGCTTCACCTAGCTAGTAGAGAGTGTGAGAGTGGACGTTGAAGGGCCAGCGCGCATGCACCAGCAACAGCACCCGCACCAACCGGCGGCGGCCATGGGCGACGCGCTGTGGGAGCTGATCGGGGAGGAGATGGCGGCGGCGGAGGCGGCCGCCGGGGAGCACGGCCTGCCCCCGGGCTTCCGCTTCCACCCCACCGACGAGGAGCTTGTGACCTTCTACCTCGCCGCCAAGGTCTTCAACGGCGCGTGCTGCGGCGGCGTGGACATCGCGGAGGTGGATCTGAACCGGTGCGAGCCGTGGGACCTCCCGGAGGCGGCGAGGATGGGGGAGCGGGAGTGGTACTTCTTCAGCCTCCGCGACCGCAAGTACCCCACGGGCCTCCGCACCAACCGTGCCACCGGCGCCGGCTACTGGAAGGCCACCGGCAAGGACCGCGAGGTGCTCAACGCCGCCACGGGCTCCCTCCTCGGCATGAAGAAGACGCTGGTCTTCTACAGAGGCCGCGCCCCCCGCGGCGAGAAGACCAAGTGGGTCCTCCACGAGTACCGCCTCGACGGCGACTTCGGCGCCGCCCGCCGCTCCTGCAAGGTGCGCAATGATCCAGGAGTTGGTTGCACGCTATTATTGCTCCACCCGTGAACATTTTGTTACTGCTCTTTTTGCTAAATACATTCTCTAGCTTCTAGTCACTGTGTGAGCTCGTCGTTGAAACACCAACAGTTGAGTGGTCAAGAACAAGTTACATGGTCGTTAGCAGAAGTAGATGCAGACATGATGATGCATTGAATGCAGCGTGCGTGTGCTTGCATTGCATGCATACATAAGGTGACATATGCATGCAGATTGATTTGAAATATATGCTTATTATACTTGTAGCCTAGTACACTTTTGTTCATTTCATTCGATGCTGGTGCCTGGTAGTATCATAAGCATGACGATGATGCTGTACACAGTGGGTCGTTTCTGCTCAAAAATCTAGTTGCAGATTTGCACTGACACCGGATGCATCTGAGCTAGCTAGCGTTATACGTACTAGTATACCGGTACGTGTTTGTTCCCTTCTCAGGGCATGTAGTACTTTGCATGCATGGCTCGAGGATCTCCAATCGTCCTACTGCAGATCGACAAATCTTCCATTGATATCTCCCTGTGCCACATGCTTATAAGAAAAAGGGCCATTTCGCCCATGAAGCATAAATGTGCTCTCCGCCAGAAGTTCATGAGTAAATATATAGATGTAGATAGGTAGATTTTCTACAGCATTTCTGTCCTAGCTAGATCACAATCCATGCAAAAGAGATTATTATATTGATATACGTTTTTTTCTTGGATATGTTGGCTCGTACATATATTTGTGAGCGATGTTTTGAACTTATACTGTCCATGATATACTTTTTGCAGGAGGAATGGGTGGTGTGCAGGATCTTCCACAAGGCGGTAGACCCGTACAGCAAGATGATGGAGATGAGAAACCCCTACTGCTACTTCCCCATGAGCCCCCACCACCCCAGCTTCTTCCAGGACGCACCTCCTGTCCCCTTCCCAAACCCTAGTCAGCTCATCCCCTTTCACCATGACCTCCCAAACCTGCAGTCATCCCCAATAATGCAGAGCCAGGGCCAGGCCAAGAACACAAGCAGCAACAATGGCGGCTTCCCAGCAGCAGCTTGCGTCCAGGAGCAGCCAAACAGCAGCTGTAACCAAGCATATTTCCCTTTCCCTCCCTTCGCCTCCATCGTCAATGGCAAGGCAGGCCCACCGGCGCAGCCCAGGGTCAATGGCGGTCCACAGGAGCCACCGCCGACCTGGCTGGACGCTTGCCTGCAGCACAGCGCCTTCATGTACGAGATGGGCCCACCTGCAGCCACCAGGGGGGCATGATCCGGCCGGGTCACTCGTTTCCTAGGGCTACCCTCCCATCTCGTTCGATCGTTATGTTGCAGCTTTTGATTATTGATTAGTCAAGTTGCGAGTGTGATCGATCGATATTTAGACAAGCACTTGTAATTGTTTTCCCTTGTTCTCCGATCAATCCTCTAGCTTCCGTAGCTTATGATCATATGTAGTGCTTTGCTTGCTCGTGCATGGGATCATTGGAGTAGTAGGAGACTAGCTAGCACTGAACTACTAATCTCGTGATCCATGCTTGTACTCACATGCACTATGGTCCTATGTAGTTTTAATCTATGTGTAATGAAGAACATCTCCTTGTGGATTTGCTTTTCACATGCACGATATAATATGTACTGTATGTAGCACTAGCAGTGTCGATGAGTTCCTTATAAACTTGTAGTAACTGCTTCTCATGTTCAAAAGTAAATAATTGTAGTGCAGTAGCCACCCCTACGTTCTCTCGAAACATGCTCTCGCTTGTGACTCCTACAATAACGTGATGTTAAAAAAATAGATGCCCCTTTTTACCGGCAGAGAACTTTTAAAAATGGTTATGGACAACATCATTCAGCTCCGACAACTAGGTGTGGAGATGCATTTTTTGCATTCAGCTCATATGTATCAAGATGTGCGGTACACATTCCTTGTTGTGTAGTGGATGCGGTTCCTGACATGAGATCTGCACATACAACTCTCTCATTGCACGGATGAGCCAACCACATGCACATGTATGCGTCCCTACAACTAGAACTCGAGATACTGGCACTACTACAATTTGAGGCGAACAAAAGAAGAAAAAGCAGCGGTGATGGACGGGTGGATGTGATCTAGGTCAGAGATGGACATGCAGTGCATGCAGCGGTGCACGCAGAGACGCTAGCGCCGGGGCCGGCCGGGCAGTGGACATTGCGACGTGACGGGCTCGCAGCCTCACAGGGTAGTAGGAGGAGTGATGATGCGTGCGTGGAAGGCCAGGCCAGGCCAGGAGAGGAGGTATTTGGCAAAATCTCGTCGGCGTCGCGTTTGCTTTGATTTGCGTTACGTTGCTCCTCTCTGAATGAGTAAATAAATACGTCCTGCGTTTCCTGCTGTGAATCATGACGTGGGCGGTGTCGCCGGGATGGGATGGGATGCCCCGACGTGACCCCGGCCTGGTCGGCCTCCGCGGAAGCAGCCAGCCGGCGAGGACGACCTTTCCCCGGCCGCTGCGACGCGCCGCTCGCCGCTCGCTCGCATCGCATCTCTCGCTTCGCCACAAAAGTCAAGCTGCTACACACTGTCTAGCTGCTGCTCCTGCGAGCTCTTAATTAACCCACTCGTGTAAAAAAATGCCCAGGAGCAACTAGGACTAGAGTAGTTGTACTGTACGTCGTCGACACAAACTATGCCACCGCCGACCATCGCCGGGAGAAAGGCCGAGCGATCGATCTGAGTTCACGGTGCAGTAAGAGCAACTACAACCGAACGACTCAAACGGACGTCGATTTTGTTCGTTTTTTATCTGTTTAGGTCAGTCGCCTGCCCGATGTCCGTCTCGTTTTAGATATGGATCGGCAGTGCGTCCAACGCACCAACCCATATGTGACGGCTTGACCGGCTGGCCGTACAATTTCAACAAATAGCTCAATTTTGCATTGATGAATTTGCATTTAAACATATAGTCAAATAACATAGTTTGAATCGAATAAAATAGCATAGTTTTATAAGCCGAATAAAAATAAAAATGTCTCACATAGTTTTGCAAACGAATAAAAGAAGATGCATCTATTGGTTGCCTCTGCATGCATCGTTATGATGCAGAGGCCAAGGGCACGTCTCCATTTAAAAAAAATATTGGTTGCCAACATGAGCCCATATATGCTTCACCAAATCATTTTGCAGTTGCACGTGAGTTTTTCAATCACGCATGTCATGATGAAATTGGATGAACTGTTCAAACGTTGCCGCTCCTCCATGCTCAGGCACAACATTCTCACCCTAAAACTGAAACCCTTGATCGTACAGGTGTTCCGGGCGCTCGTCTTCTATGATCATATTGTGCATGATCACACAAGCAGTCATCACCTCCCACAGTTTCTGCGTGCTCCAGGTATTAGCAGGATACTGAACGATGCCCCATTGAGATTGCAAAACACCAAAGGCACGCTCGACATCCTTCCTAGCATTTTCTTGCTCTTCGACAAATCTTTTCCTTCTCTCCGACAGGGTTGAGGATTGTCTTGAAAATAGTGGTCCATTGAGAATAGATATCGTCGCTCAGGTAGTATCCTTTATCGTAGTTGTGGACATTGATAGTAAAGTTCACCGGTGGGCTGTTGCCTTCGGCAAGCCTAGCAAACACCGACGAGCGCTGAAGCACGTTGATATCATTGTGTGATCCGGCCATGCCAAAGAAAGAGTGCCAGATCCAGAGATCTTGAGATGCCACGGCCTCTAGTATGACAGTGCAAACCCTGACATGGCCCTTATATTGCCCTTGCCAAGCAGAAGGGTAGTTTTTCCACTCCCGATGCATGCAATCTATGCTGCCAAGCATCCCTGGGAAACCCCTGTTGGCATTCATCGCCAACAAAAGGGTTGTATCTTCAGGAGTCGACTCTCTCAAGTATTCAGGGTCAAACACATCAATAATAGCTTTGCAGAACTTATACAGGGACTCTAGGCATGTAGACTCGCTCATACGGACGTACTCGTCAATGAGATCAACGGGCACTCCGTATGCAAGCATTTGGATGGCGGCAGTGCATTTCTGATAAGAGGAGAAACCAACCTTGCCAACGGCATCCTCTTTGCACTCGAAGTAGCCATCATAGCCCACAACCCCCTCTCTAATACGGTTGAAAAGATGTCTACTCATACGGAAACGGCGGCGGAATTTTTGATATTTGAACAATGGGTTTGTTGTATCAAAGTAGTCATTCCAAAGAAGGAAATGCCCGCTCTCTCGGTCGCGATTCAACACCGGAAGGTGGCCCGGAATGGAGCCACGGAACAACAGCCGCTGGCTGTTGAGGTGGTGATGGACCAACACGGCAGCCAATATCTCCTCCTCATCAGCGGACGACAAATCGTCGAAGTCACAAAGAAAATTGTGAAAAAAGAACTCGTCGGCGGAGTCCATTTTGTACCTTGGCAAACTGTCGAATAGCTTGTGGGCGTCAACGAAGGAGACGGCCGGCAAAGTGAGTCGCGGCGCGCACGGATCAGCTAGCTGCCCTGACGGCGTCCGATGAGTGGGCTGGCGTCTGACGGGCGTGCCGGTGAGGATCTGGCCGGGGCGGCGAGGCGGCTTCTTGGCCGCGGGCGGCTATGTGGTGGGGGGAGCGGGGGTGGGAAACAGTCGGCTCCCCGGCGGCAAAGACGGCGGTGGCGGTCGATGTGGGAGTGGGCGGCATTGCTGGGTGGATGTGGAGGCGCCGGCAGGTGGCAGAGTCGCCGGCAAAAATGGGCGGCGGCATCGGCGACGAAGGAGGCGGGCGAGGGTTGATGTTGGATGGAGGAAGGCCAATGTGCCACCGACCAGCGGGCCCAAGGGAGGAGAAGGTGAGCGTGCGCGCGTCTGTCGTGTGTCCACGCCGACGTAAATCTGGCTAAAAAATGAACCGGGAATTTGTCGCCTGCAGACGAAAATCGGACGCGCGTCCGTTTGAGTTGATGCGTTGGGCCGCTTTTTATGTTCGCGCCAATTCAAACGGACGCTAGCGGACGAAACGGCTACAGTGATCGATCAAACAAACTCATCAAAGCATGGTGACGAGACGTACCATTCAGCATGGATGGTGACTATCTCAAAAACAATGTAGATAAATTGCTTTTGCGTTTTTCTAGTCCGTTTGAGTATTTTTGCTGTAGTTTCGTAGGTACGTACAGTGGTGGCCGGTGGAGCGCGGAGGCCGGCAATGGGGAAGAACATTGAATGCGGCGATCGGTCGATCGGCGCACTGGCATGGCTTGGCCTTCTTGTCAAATAGCTGTCGTCTCCGCCAGGACAAAACGATCTCTGGTTAGGGAATAGGAGGAGGGACGACTGCCCATCGGCTCCGGCCGGTCGGCCGTCGATCCATCCACCGACATGTCGCTCGCTGCCCGTTTCGCCGCCCATCCCTAGCTACGCTAGCAACTCTGTGCTGCGCATGGCGAACGACCGATCGATTCGGTATGCAGTACCATCCACTGCTCAACGGTGGACTGTAGCTGTAGAAAGTTGGTTACGACCAAAAGCTAGTAACAGAGATTGATCGCTGTGTCCATCACATCCAGATCTATGCGAAAAGTTCTAGGCTGAAAATGGATACTACTCCCTCCGTCCCATACGTAAGTCTTACATTATGAGCCGAAGGGAGTAATAACTATGTAAAAAAAAGGACATCATTCATACAGACTAGAAGAGGGATAGAAAATACAGGCGATGGGTGCTGTAAACTTTAGTACGTGCAAACCTAATCAGCGGTTTTTTCTTTTCAATGCTGCAAATCATGCATGTTTGTTCTGGACGTACAGTTATAATATCAACTATACTCTCTCAGCCACTTCTGTTCTAACTGCCTCGGGGCATCTTCAACCCTGACCCTCAAACCGCCCGCATATGTTCAAACGTGCGGTTCGAGCCCTGAAAGTTATCCAACGTGGGCCTATATCGGTCCGTCGAGTGATTCGGACCACCATTTCACGGAAACTGAAACCAAATGTGGGGGGTTTTATGGGAGTTTGGACACGAGACACGCCAGACTCTTACACCCATGGCCCACCCCAAAGGAAGGTGCGAGTTTGTAGCATCCACACTGTTTTCACGCCAAACTCCTGCACTCTCTTCTTTCATCATGCCGCTCTCCACCCAATTCCCGCCCCTTTCTCCCACTTTCTTCTTCGCTGTCGTGCCAACGCATGGAACCGAACAAGGACCTGCCAAAGATGGAGATGGTGGAGGTGCAAGAGGATTCGAGCATCACCCTCGCCCGGAAGATCAACCCAGCGACTCGGCAGAATCA